GATTAGGATGTTCCGGCGGGGACCGGACGTGGACCAGTCCTGCTATTGCAAGTTCATGGTTTCCGGAACGATCGCGACTAACCGCTTTCGTGCCAGCAACAGCCTACGCCCACTGGATAAACCATTAAAACATGTTAATTAAAAATGTCTGTCAACGTACTAAATGATCTATCAAAGTAAAGGAAAACTATTAGTTTTGAAAACTTTACATAGAAACGGCTTTTGAAATGGGAAATACTCGTAATGGAACGTGTAACGGTGAAGCTGTGTAATGTTATATATAGGTCCTAGTATTTTTTTATTAATTATATTATTTAATAATTAATGTATAAATATTTTCATAATATTATATATATTTTCATTTAATCGAGTTAGTAATGCGTTTATTATTGTTTTATCATCATATCAGTCGTCAACTGTCCATTGCTGAACACATGCCTTCCCCATAAGGGAAATTTTTGTCAGTATTTGCCACCCCTGACAGGCGGACTGGCATCCACAGTTATGCTTTGATAATGTTTAAAGAGTGACGCCGCTGTCTTTCTCTCGATCATTAAGTTCCCTTAATCGCCTCTTACGACACCCTAAGTAAAGGAAGGAGTGGTTTATTTTATGCCGCACCAAACGACAAATGCTGTAAAACGAAAATGAATTTTGAAGAAAATTGAGAGCGAGTACTCATTTCAAATAAAAAAAAAAAAAAAAGTTTATTATTCAGTAAAAATATTATCTATCTTCATATACAAATAAAAAAATGCTAATTTAAATGAATTATAAATATGTATAAGAACATTATTAAAATAAGTAAAAACGCAAGCAATAGTTAATATAGGTATGCATTTTATGCAGATATATGCAGAAGTGCGGAAAACGATGGAGCTGCATATTTAGAAGTCACGTGCATGTGACTTTAATAGTACAGTTTGTTGACCTTTAATCTCCTCTTAACTATTCTCTATTAAAGTAATAAGTTTTAACAAGCAACGGTTCTGTTCATAGCTTAATTAGTTGTTAGTTTGTAGCCACTGTAATATAATTTATTATTTATAAGATATTCTTTCACATGTTATGGAAAATTAAGTTGAAAATTTATTGTTAATATCTATAAAGTTGTTAGAGAATAGTATTTATTTATTAATATGCTTTTGTACGTTCATTTATAATATAGATATTAGGTTATAACCAAAATGTACAGAGGCGGACTTATCTATTAAAGGGATTTCTACCTGTCAATCTTGAGAACTAAAATGAAGAAAGTATCTATAGGGTTTGTATATAAAACAATAACATAAATGGCGCAAAAATAATACGATAAATAATACATTATTAGTAACTATATAGTTATCGGTATGATATGGTATTATAGGTAAATAATTGGTAATCTTATATATAAAAATTCGTGCCACAGTGTTTGTGGTCGAACTCCTCCGAAACTGATTTTTATGAAATTTTTATGCATATTTGGTAGGTTTGAGAATATGTCGTCATGTATATTTCATATCACTAGGTGATTAGTGTCCCTTTCCTGTAAAAAAATATTTATATAGCAGAACATATTTTGCTGGGTCGGCTAGTACTATTTAATATTATTTATTTTTATATATATATGCTTAACTATTTATAAGCGGAGGGAGGTAGGAGATAGAGATATTCTAAGTGAGCTATTTATTCTTATTGTGAGACATAGGAATAAGGCCTTATTATATATATATATATATATATATATATATATATATATATATATATATATATATATATATATATATATATATATATATATATATATATATATATATATATTTTTATACAACTTAGAATAGCAAACAAGCTGATGGCCCACCTGATGGAAAGTGGTAACCGTCGCCTGTAGACATGAGTAGTACCATGGACATAACAGAGTATACTGTTTCGCCCATGATACCCCCATGCGTTGCCATTCCTGAGGACTCAGGTGTTATTCTTCTATACCCAGTAAATTCACGCCATATCCCACCCTTCAAACCGAAACACAGGCATGCAAACACAACTGCTTCACGGTTGAAACACGAATAGGACAGAGGTACCCAAGCAATCGACTTTTGTACAAAGTCTCCCTCTGGTACAATAAAATCAAATCAAAATCATATGTTTTTTATGATATAATCAATCAATAAAAATCAATAACAAATAATCAATCCTGCAATATTATGCCCAATTTCATAATTGAGCAACAAAAGAAAACAAATTTCAATTTTATTAAAAAAAAATTTGTTGCGACTTCATCTACGAAGTGTGAAAATGGCCTATCTCCTCCATTGCAATTTTATGGTGAACAATAAATACTTGTTTGTTGTTCACTACGGATTAATCCTTATTAACAATATGTTAATTAGGATTTAATAACAAATAAATCAGAATTTTCCACCATGTGTATTTACATCTGACAAGTTACCTATGATGAGTTCATTTACCTGCAGCATATACGTAACGGTTAATAATATTAATCTTTCTTAAGATTTGTTTTGTTTATTTTAACAATTCGTGTTTACACTATTCACTCAGTGAAGAGAATTGAGGATTATAATGCCTGTAGATAATATCCGTTAAGGTTTAAAAACAATATTAGTTAATAATAATTGTTTTTAAAGTTAAATAACTCATATATATTTACCAGAGGGAGACTTTGTACAAAAGTCGATTGCTTGGGTACCTCTGTCCTATTCGTGTTTCAACCGTGAAGCAGTTGTGTTTGCATGTCTGTGTTTCGGTTTGAAGGGTGGGATATGGCGTGAATTTACTGGGTACAGAGGAATAACACCTGAGTCCTCAGGAATGGCAACGCATGGGGGGTATCATGGGCGAAACAGTATACTCTGTTATGTCCATAGTACTGCTCATGTCTATAGGCGACGGTTACCATTCTCCATCAGGTGGGCCGTCAGCTTGTTTGCCATTCTAAGTTGTATAAAAAAAAACATTGAATATATCCTCAGGCCGCAGACGGAGTCGCAACTAAAACTATTATATTATTTTCAAATAAAGATGTAAAGAGTAATGTCTAAAAAACCAATATTGTAACAATTCGATTAGAAAGTTTCGTATTTTTTCTAAAAATATAAATAAATATCTAACTAACATATTTATAAGAACAGTGTGTAACAAATGTAATATGGTGTGAATAATTTTGTGTTCGGTGCTTCTCACGCTTGTTCTAGTCACTACACTACCTATTCGGGGAAATTATTCTAACAAAATGCGACTTAGTACTGTTTTTAACATATTTTATAGCTATCCGTAGATAGTGTCATGATTCCAGTTTTTAACAGCTTTGTATTTGTTTTTTTTTTTTTAACTCAACCTACAAATCAACTTCATTTTGGTACCTTTAAATATTTATTAGATTTAAAAATTAATAAAAAAGGCCAGTCTTTCAAATTACAATAAATATATCAAAGTTGTTATAATCAAACTATACCTATATCAATTTAATAACATAACTTATTGTTAGAAATATTGAGTAACTATGTGCCCACAGATAATGCTCTGTTGTATTTTACACAAGAGTTTATTCTTTACTAGCTGTATCCTGCGGATTTTCCCGTGGTTGTATTGTGATAATGAATATCTTATAACTTTAATCAAGAAGTGACGTGTCAAATGTAAGAAGAATTTTTCATATCCGACTTCTATTATCACTTATTATTATTATAGTTTATTCTTGTGTAAATCGGTTTTTAAACCTCAAAAAATTATTTTCAACCGACTTCAAAAAAAGGAGGAGATCCTCAAATTGGTTGTATATTGTTTTTTTGTGTTTGTTACCTCAGAATTCCGTCATTTATAAATTGATTTGGAAAAACTCTTTTTTTTTTGCTTGAAAAGATGTACTTTCGGATTTATCCTATAGATATTTTATTAACATCGGTTAAGTAGTTTAGTTTTTAAATCGAAACAACTGATTTTGCTTCGGTTGAAGTAATTATAATAGATTTGAGTCAGTACTAATATTAGAATATTAATGAAAAATGTACAGCAAAACAAATCACAACAACAAAAGGATTAAATTATAAATGAAGTTAGGAAACGTTGCGTAGGAAGAGACATCCGCCCACGCTGCTTTCTGCTTGTCAAACTGTCCATTGACAATTATTGGTTAGCTTTTAAAAAAAGATTCACATATGTGACCTCTGACTCCACGGTGAACGTCTTTGTATTTTTTTTTATAATGGTTGATAATAAAATGGTAACTCCGCCTGCGCTAAGAGTATGTATTGCCGAAATACCAATGAGGGATGATAGGTGAGGACGAAGAAAGGTCAGGTGGTTTACCGCGATGAATATATATATATATATATATATATATATATATATATATATATATATATATATATATATATATATATATATATATATATATATATAATATATATATATATGTTTAAAATACGTTTTATGATTATATATTTTTAAACTTAAATAAATAAAATAATATACTATTTAATATTATAAATGTGAAGTTTGGAAGTTTCTTATTTAATAGTGTTTAGGTGAGTGAACGGATTTGAATGTTATCCAGTAGAGATTCATGTTTTTTTTCATTTAAGAGTTTCCTCTTGTCGGTGCAACTAATTCATGCATCTTCCTCCAGCCAGTTCTATATATATTCTTAACCTCCCTAAATACGACATGACAAGTGTTTCTTTTATAATATTCTATTTTTCCTTCTAATATTAAAAATTGTCATGTCGTATAAGGTAGCCTAGCATTTTGCCCCTTCTATATCTATTATTTTAATTAATGTTCTTTTCTCGTTCACTCTTTTCAAGACTTCTTCAATCGTTAGTTTTTCTGTCCAGCTTATCCTTTCCATTCTTCTCCATGTCCACATTTCGAATGCCTCAAGAGCCATATCTTATATTAATTCAAAAAGACATCTAAGTCATTCATGTAGTAAAAAAATTAATCTATGTTAAGATTAAACTTTAATAAATTACTAATTTAATGAAATTTTATCTTTACAGGTAATGGTGAGAGTTTAGTCCTGGATCGAATAATTAGGTATGTAACTTTTTGAATAACACCTTATTTTTGCAGCGTGTCCAATATTGAATAATAAATAAAAACGGACAAATTTATGTAACACTGCTATTTATGACTTATTTTAACAGAATATTCAATTTTTAATAAAAAAAATACATATCGCTACTGCTTGTTGCCACGGTTTCCACGTGTGAGATAGCATAAGTAAATTTTATTCACAAAATGTAGGAACCAATTGCTTCTATTGTAAACTGAGCGTTATATCCCACACTTTAGGTGCTTATATGCTTGTTAAATTGTTCACCTACGGTTATAAGATGACAAGAAGAATTTATAACCTCGTAACGGTGACCTCTGGCCCCGCAGCGTAACGTTCCAACTTGTTACTCCATTCATGAAGTGTAATTTTTTTCAATTGATTGTTATCTTACGTTACTTATTGTTATTACTTCAGAAATCGTAGTTTATCGTGCTTGTTTATATATTATACTAGCTTTTTGTCCAATACTTTGTATGCGTGGCAAAATTAATGAAACATACTTTCAGATGGCGTATTAACACTTTATTGACCCGGAATTCCGGCGTGGTTGAAATTTTTGAAATAAACTAAAATTAGGATAAAAATCTAAATACAAGGAAAAGTATTTTTTTGGTTATGAACGCTTTGTAATCCAAACGGTGTTGCCCGTCGTGGTAGGAGGACGTACCTACACGCTAGTGAAAACACGAGTTTACACGTCAGCAAAGTGTTAAGATACGCTAGATTTTGAGTTAGACCTTATTCAGTTATGAAAACTGCATATAATTTGTTGCAATAGTCTTTGTGTCTTTACTGGTGCTCGAAACAATTTATGAAAATTATACGGCGTATTCACAGGCCCAAAGCGACGGGGTCAAATCTCTCTTCGAAGTAGTGGTTCCTTAATATAAATTTTTAATTTATCAATACACAAAAATAAAGTAAAAACTATAAAATATATGGTAACAAACATAGATACGTGGTTATGTACGTATTACGTAATATAGGTGTAAAGGTAACATTTATACATTTTTTAAGTGATGATGGAATAGTAACACCTCCCGTGTTATCTGTATATGCTGGTGGGGCACCAGTGAACGTATAACAGGTGTGGATAAGTCAGGACAGTTTGCTCATCGTGTCGAATTAATCAGGAATTAATAATGATGGTTTTTAGGGGAAATCACGTGGAGGGCGACTAGATAGGGTATTTTGCTAGCAATCGATCAGTTAGACCTAATTACTAACAGTTCCTTTCCCTCCGGTAATATAATATGTATTTACGAGGTTTGTCCGGAAAGTACGTATAAAAGTTTTTTAAAAATTTTATTTTACAATTATTCAGGTAAATCAATTTTATCCCCTTCAAAGTACTCCCCCTGTGACATAATGCACTTGTGCCAAATATATGTGAGAAGGCTCCTTGAAAGTCTCTCTGGTTGTAGGTTTCTCAGCTGCCCCGTCGTAGCTTTTTTTATCTCATTTATGTCCCCCAAAAGCCGCCCCCGAAGTACCAATTTTGTTTTTGGGAACAAGAAGAAGTCAACGGGGCCAAATTTACGAATACATTTGTTCGGTCACCGTAATGGAATTTTTACTCAAAAACTCACGGACAACAAGAGAGGTGTGGGCAGGGGCATTGTCGTGGTGAAGAATCCAACGCCCCTCTCGCGCCAATTCTGGACGAACTCGTGCCACACGAGCTTTGAGGCGTCTGAGCACATCGACGTAGAATTTTCCATCAACTGTCTGGCCTGGAGGGACGAATTCTTGATGGACAATCCCCCGAACATCGAAAAAAACAATCAACATTGTCTTGACATTTGAGCGGGATTTTCTTGATTTTTTTGTTCGTGGTTCCCCGGATGTCTTCCACTCTTTGCTTTCACGGCCATTCTTGCCGAGTTAAACGAGAGAAATTAACGACGTGATGCTCTTCAACGGAAGCGGGCTCCATGCCGACGGGGTTTCGTTAAGAGGTAACTTCACAGATGGCGTATTTTGCGGTCAGACCAGAACTGAAGCATTGTTAGGGACATCAGGGGTTGCTAACTGGCCTTCTCTTTCTCGCATTCCAGAACACTTTTATAACTTTGACAGACCTTTATATTATTTAAATGTACAATATATGTATATAAATTCCAATTTGTTAGGTTTATTTATTTATTTATTTAAGGCAAACAAACAGCTAAAATAATACATAATTATATACTTAAATAGTAATTTGGTACCCATTAGAATTTGCACAAAATAAAATACAAGTAAACGAAACACAAAATTAGACAATACTAAAATAAAACAAAATTAAACAAATATAAACAAAATTAAACAAACAAATACTATTGAAAACCACAGCAATATTGTCAATAATAGGTTAACTGGAAGATATCTTTTCGAGATAATTTGAGTGCAATAAATATTATTATTTAATTATTTTACTACAATAAATAATGCAAACATTAATTAATTAAATATCAATCACAATTAGTTTAATCATATTACATTTTACATTTGTTTACTCTGCAACGAATAAAGAAGGCAGTACAGTATATATACTGCTTTTTTTATTTGTTTTAAAATAATATATAATGTGTTTAATTTATGAGTATTAAATTACTAACCGCCTAATACTGATGTTGTGAAAAATTCTAAACAAATTTGTTCTCGCTTCCCCTCAGCGGGGTACCGTTTGGTGGAACATTACAACGATTTATGATGATGGCCGTTGGTAAACTCAATTAGCCTATGTCAGGATTTATATTTAGCTACAAACAACATTACAGAATAGGATAGAAATCGTTTATTACAATATACACGATACAGGACATTCTATTTTCAAACGATTTTAAAATGAAAGAGGTTCTTAATTCGGTTATAAGTTTTTTTTTATGTTTGTTATTTCAGAACTCTGTTATTTATAAATCGATTTGGATTTTTTTTATCTGACAAGATATACTTACAGATCGGGCCTATAGACAACATATTGTCAAAATTTAGTTGTTTAGTTTTAAAATCGAAACAGCAAGTTTTTTCACAATTAGATTTTTTATTATCTTTAATTACTTTAATAGTTATGTTTATTTTTAACGATGTTTCTTTCTCTCTCTCATGTATGTATGTACATATATGTAACAGAATACATTTTCCGTAGCCTAATTTTATGATGATTAATATAAATATGAGATAAAACTATTAGTAAAAACTATTAAAACTCGTTCAAAGAAGATGAAAGAACTATAAAAAAATATTGAGAATTAATTGTACGAGTATTGCGTGGATTTCACCTGTGGTATATTTCGTAATTGAGGATAGCTTATAACCTTCCTAAAGAAATGGGACATCAAACACAAGGAATTTTTTTTAAATCCGATTGTTATTTCCAGAGATTAGGATGTTTAAATAAACAAACTCAAATTAGTATTGATTTCTACCTTTTTTGAAGTCTGTTAAAAGGATATTATGTGGATTTTAATATAATAGGTTTTGTAAGCGTCAATTACACACGATATGTGCCTCTACTATATCGTTTCCCGGTGACCTCATTTCGGACCTTTCAATATTGAGCTACGGAACCCTAGCGATACTTGTTCGGTGTTCGGGAGGGAAATGAACTTGAATAACCTGTCGCGACAGCTCGGTGAATTATATCTCGCAGTGGGCGCGGGGGTGGCCATTCTATATAAATGCTTTAAATTTTCTCTGTTAAGTCGATCATTTAATTTCTTCATTAATATACTCGTACCTACCACAGGCGAAGTCACGGAATACAACTAGTTCAATCTTTTTCTATAGTTCTTCTTTCACCTACTGTAAACGAAATCTAATAGTTTTTATTAATCATTTTCTCATGTTTATATTAATATATTAAAAAAAATAACAGATCTTTACCAATATTATAGATCAAAGTGAGTTTGTTTGTTGTTACCTCTTATCGCCTTAACAGCATAACCAATCAGTATGAAAGGTATAGAAGTACTATATGGGACGGAGGACATAGGCTCCTTTTAATGCCGGTCAGTAAATATATCCCGGTTATGCAAACGAAGTAACGGGTATAAGTTAATGTATCTAATAAAAAATATTATTGCATATTTACTTAATTTTAAATACATAATTATTTAAATGTATTTGTGCTACTTTTTCTTTATTCTTTATTATACACAAAATATAATGTTAATCACAATTCATTTGAAACACACAACGTACGTACAAAGGCGAGCTTATCTCTAATTAGAGATTTCTTCTAGCAAAATCTTTTCATGTAAATTGTGTTATTTTAAAAATTAAAAAATGTTAATCAAAATCTTTTAATTTACCGAAATTTTGTAACTAGATATATTTTGCGAGTTTCTTTGTTTGAATTAGGATTAATGTCTCCTATGTGTTAATTGGTAGGTGTAGATGCCTTGGGACCGGTTCTTAAGTTATTATTCGGCTATCTTAAGTTTTGCAGTAAATAACCCCTAAAATGATGATGATGATGAGGTACATCACCAGTTCAAGGTTCCAGTATACTACCAACATTTTATTAAATAACAATAAACTTTATATTGTGCACAAAATAGATGCATACAAAGAATATTGATACAGAATGTGCAAATACAAAAGGCGGTCTTATCTCTGTAAGCAATTCTTAACAGACAATTTGGATATAATTCCTTTTTATTAAAGTGTATGTTAAGGTTTCATCAGGGTCGGCAATGCGCACGGGACACCCCTAGTTCCGCAGTCGTATATAGACTACAGTAACCATAAGACGGGCTGTATGTGGCATACAAATGCCACTTGGGTATTATAAAAAAAAATTAAAATAGATAAAGTGTGATGACAAACATCTTTACAAACTTTTTCTTTTATAATATTAGTACATTATAAGGATAGAGACAATATTATTTTAAAGTAATGAAGTTAGTTATATTTTATCTATTTGTATGTTAGACTCTAATTAACAGGCACTCGCTTGAATAGACCTTGAATACTGTGCAGGGTCAGAAAAACAAGTAGGTGTCCTATTAAAAAATCGTTCTCCACCGAACCATGTGCGCATGAGTCATACTCGGTTCGCGCGTCCGCTGTAACAAACTGGTCCGTCTGCGGAACCAGAAATGAATTGCAGCCGAAACGTGATCAACGCTAGAACGATAGATCAACGCAAATAAAGATTTGTTGCAAAGGTAATAGGGTGTAAGTTTAGAAACCTCTGATTGGTATATGTTTCTAGTAAATAATTGGAGAGATGGGTAGAATAGTACTAGGGCGGATTGGTCTTGTGTTGGGATTATGCATATCAATTTTCTTCCTAAACTACTATGAAAATGTTGTTTTAAATTTACATCACGGTTACTTACAACTTTATACATTTTATAAGATATTTACCGCGATTTATGGGCTCCTGATATTTTGACACTGTCCTGGTCACGGGTTGACTGCTGTTATTCTATTTTGCCGTGACTTTTGAGTGAGCTCGCGTGTAGGAAAGACTCACTTAATCATAATAACTGAAACTTCCTACAAATCTAACTTAACTATTACAGTGTTCTATCGCTTTTTTTTAAACTGAGAATTTAGGACAAAAGAGAGAGACAAAACAATTGAATAGTTAAAATAGGTTTACGAGACGTTTGATGTTTTTATAATTTTTATACTAAGGAGGTTATCATTTTAT